TGTGCCCTCGCACCCAGGTGGTGGCAGATAGAATAACAGAGTTTATTAAAAAGGTGAACAGCACTATACACGTCCCACTAGCAGGCCAGCAGGACTGTGGCTCAGGTTGACAAGAGCCAGGGACCCCATCACGTGTCCTACGAGTCTTCCATCAGCTCAAGGATCATTTCTTCCACGCCATTCTTGATGTGGTGCAAGTTGCGCCAGAACCGGTTCAGGTGGTCCACGTACGGGCCTCCAGGTTGGAGCTTCCACATGAAAGACATGATCCTCGAGCTCAGCGGGCTGTTGGTGAGTGAGATATGCCCACTGGGGATGACTTCCTGGCGCAACCGTACTTGCAGGACACCTTCTGTCTCCATGACAACATGCAGCCACGTGCACTGCTTCTGGTTCTCATAGAACGAGTGCAGACATATCCTCAGGCAGATGGGGTGCGAGTTGAGGTGCACTTTCAACGGGAGCTCGGCCATGACCCCTTCGTGGTCCAAGGTGCAACAGCCACAGCTTATCGGAGCCTCTCGCTACTTCGGTACGGGTATCGAAAGACAGGGGATCGGGTCTCCAAACGCATTTTACCTCGGCTTTTAACTTTATTGTTTTTACAGTTGTGTTTGTGGTTGGCTTTGGTTTATTTTGAAAATTTATAAATCTCAACATTTCTTTCTGTTTTAGTGTTAGATATCTCTTCTGGAACAAACTGTACAAAAAATACTTGAAGTAAAATATGACTCCGTGAAGGTAACATGGTCCTATGGAATTTTAAAAACATTTTTTAATGACAGTTAACATAGAACCTTAGGTTCATTTCAGGGGTACATCCCAATAATTAGACATTAGATAATGGACTAAGAAATCATGCAATTAATCTCATACCCATCTGACACCATACATAGATATTGTAATATTACTAGAGGCTCAGTGCACAAAATTCATGCGTGTGGGGGAGTCCTTCAGTCAGCAATGCAGCCTCTAGCAGTCCGGGACCCCTTGAGGGATGTACAACTGACAGCATATTCCCACTTTAATGCTGCCGTGGAGGCTCCGACCACCCTCTTGTGCACGGAGGCTTTGAGCCTGGCTTTTGCCTGATCAGCGATCCCCCTGAGGGAGTGCACTGACCACCAGTGAACAGCTCCTGCCATGAGCATCTGCCACCAGTGGTCAGTGGGTGTGATAGCGACCACTGGTTCTGCCGTTTGGTCGATTTGCATGTTAGCCTTTTATACTATAGGATTGACTCAATGCTCTACTTTACTGTGCCATGAATACTCTTTCATTTTTTTCATATAGTTTTACTAATTTCAGACAGGAAGGGAGAGGGAGAGAAAGAGAAAGATCAATGATGACAGAGAATCACGGATTGGTTGCTTCCTGAATGCCCCCTACTGGGGATCAAAACTATAACCTGGGCATGTGCCCAGACTGGGAATTGAACTGAAATCGCCTGGTTCCTCTGTTTAAGCTAAACTAATGAGCCATGCTGGCCGGGCTCTTTCTCTTCTTTTGTTTTCGTTCCTTTTCTTTTCTTTTTTTCCTTTCTTTTTCTTAATTAAAACTTTGTAGTTGGCTCAACTTTTCTTTTTGTCCTGACAACAACACCTTCTTTCTGATCATCTCAAAGGGAACTCAAAAACCATAAAACAACCCACCCCATGCAAATAATATGCTTCAACTTTAACAGTTAGCAGAGGAACAAAGCTAATGTCAGCATCCACGTGGGCTTCTTAACACAAGTCTTGCTACTACGGTGCTGGTGAGAGAGGCAAGACCAAAATATTCAGGGACGGACAGAAACCAATGGTACATGAAAGGGACAAACAGGAAGCAAATAGACAGATTAAACAGCAAGTCAGATTCCTGAGGTCTCACAACATTGCTTATAGAATGATCTCTCCCTTCTCCAAACCTCAGCCATGCTCTTGGCAAGAGCTGTATGGTTTTGCTGCTAAACTCACTTCAGTCCACAAAGTCCAAATTCCTCCCTCAGATCACACTCCATCGCCAATACTTCCTGCTCCTCCTCCCATCCATCTGTTTCTTACCTGTTCTTCTTGGTCTGAAAGCAAAGCACCATTCTTCACTCCTTTCCTCTGTGACCGGTCTATGCTTACCACTGTCACCTGCAGAAGAAAGAACATGAACAGGACACACCTGTTCCAAGGAGTCTATGTGCCAGCAATGTGTCCAGAAAAAAACAAGGTTCCCCTGACTCACACCCCAGAAACCAGTCCTGTGAGACAGGTGGTGGTGAGGAAGGAAAGAGGTTTATTCAGGTGTCAGTAACCTGAGAAGGTGGAAGATGCTAGTTTCAAAACCCATCTGCACATCTCAGTGCAGGCAGAGGCTTTTATAAGGAAGGAGAGGCCAAACAGAACAAAGAGGTCAGGGGGAGGGGCTTGAGAGGTTCTCTATGTGCCTACAGGCTCAGTCCAATCTGATAAGGATCTTGCAAGTGGTCAGGTGATGGTCCAGTGTGCGCCTTCCTAGACTTTGTCCTCCTGGTTCTAACGTTGAAGTTCAGCAAATCTCCCAGAACTGGGAAGGTCAGAGTTCATATCTTCTAAAATTAGTTCCTAGGATTCTTATACAAACACGCTGTTTACCTACAAGATTCATTATTAGTCAGAGTTTGCATTTACAGGGACAATGTGGAAAGAATGGTGGGTGAGTTGTAATTACCACTGTGACATGAATGCTGAGATGCTTAGTTCTTCTTCAAGGCGTTTCCATCCTTTAAAACAGTCAAATTGGCCCTGGCCCATTTTTGCTCAATGGATAGAGTGTCAGCCTGCGAACTGCAGTGTTCTGGGTTCGATTTTTGGTAAAGGGCACATGCCCAGGTTTTGGGCTTGATCCCCAGTAACTTGCAAAACACATCGATTGATTGCCTCTGCATGCACCCCGACCAGGGCCCATGCCAAAGAGAAGCCTACAACCATGGTACATGGCCTTGACCAGAATCAAACCAGGGACCCTTCAGAAAAAAGGCCAACGCTCTATCCACTGAGCCAAACCATCTCGGGCACTAGGTAGTCTTTAAATGACTACTCACCTGGTATGTTAAACCAAAAAAAATAATAAACCATTTTAAAACAATGTGCGTTTAATCTGAATGCACCAATTGCTAATATCTTTTTAAAACGTTTTTATTGACTCAGAGATATATTCATCCATTATGAGAGAGAATCACTGATCGGCCACATCCCACACACCCCCTACAGGCCATCGAGCCTGCAACCTGGTCACGTGCCCTTGACCAGGAATTAAAGCATGACCTCCTGGTTGATCAGTCGATGATCAACCACTGAGCCACGCCAACCAAGACAGAAGTGCAATATTTTTTTTGTTTGTTTTTTGTTGTTGTTGTTATTGTTTTTTAGGATATTATGAACATTTACTCTTTTTTTATTGCTTAAAGTATTACAAAGTGT